AAAAAAAAAAAAGGCAGAACTATGCAACAAAACCTATAACATACAAAAAGTATCAGTTAAACTCAATTCAGATATCTTCTTATCGGCATATAATTACAAGTTTATGACACACTAATCTTCATTCTTTGAATCCTTAGAGGTACAGGGTTCTCTAAAACTGACACATTAATGTTGTTCCAAACATCTGATTTTGTTGGAAGCTGAGAAATTTTCTCTGCTATCAGCAAGTCTTCGGGAAGTACAGAACCAAATACGGTATATGAATTTTTCCATTCTTCGTGATTTGCCAAGCTTATGAAGAATTCAGGACCAGAGCCAACCCATGCTACTGATCCTCTTCTCATGGTTGGACGGTACTCGGACGGGATTTTATTGAATGTCATTCCCTGGGCATCAAGAGTTCCTTGAACAAGAGCAAATGGAGGACCAAAGGAAGCCTGAAAATATAAAAGACGATCTAATACATGTGATTTGATGAAATCAAGATGATTTTCCAGCAAATGGAATAATCAGATTATTTTTTTAAACAAATTAATGTGGCAGAAAATAACAACTTATTACCAGTCGCTAAAAAAATACGTCCAAAGCTTTGAAACATAAAACAAAAACACAAACAGAAATAAAGAGTTGAGTAATATGGTAAACAAATCTTAACCAAAAGGATAAATAAAAGTATGAAGGAGAAAGAGATCAAAATTAATAATATCTAGGTTCTTTACATGCTTAGAACCTGTGTGGTAGAAATTTTAATCCAGATTTTAATTAAAGTTAAAGTCAACAACTAATTTTAACCATACATTTTATAGGACCCACAACTTTTCAACTATAAATTTTATCAATTTTTATCAAAATCTACTAAAAATCTGATTTTAAACCCCACCAAACATGAGCTTAATTTCCTCTGGAACTGGTCTATTACTATAGATTTCATGGAACCTATGTCTATGCAATCTTATATGTATGCTCATAGTGCGTATGTGCTAAGCTTAAAATAATTGCTTATAAGTAAACAGTTAGGTTTAATAAAAATGACTCTTTTGTTGGACAAAGTTGGAAATAAGCAAGTACTTATTTTGAAAGTAACCCTTTCCTTGATGTCAAAATAAGTAGCTATTTTTTACTTCAAGGAAGAAAAGTAACATATCCATGCATGTTTAGAATTAAAATCTACTTAAAAGTAAGTTTGACTTAATTTTAAGCTTAGCCAAACATCCTCTTCATGAATGTGTGAAAGAAAAACTAAATGATGCCAATAAATGAAACTAGTTAGAAAAAAAAAATCACTTAGCCCTTGTTTAAGCCCTATTCTACTAAAAATCATTTTTTCTAAATTCATTTTCAACCACAAATTCTTCCAATAAAATTATTTTACACATGAATCCAAAAATTTTGCCTACTTTTTAATCACACATTCTCCAAAAAAAATACTATTACAAAATCCATTTTACTCAAACAAGCCCTTATTTTGGATTGTGTGCAGGTATTATTGGTTTAACAATTATGCACTTTTCCAACAAAATCTGGCGTCTCTGCCAAATTTATAGGAAATACTGGAAATTGTCTTACCACTATTGCTGTGGGAAATCAAATGCATGCAATTCAGTCTTTTCAACATGTAAATCGAGGGTAAAAAGGGAATCACAATTAAGAGGGAAAATAGACAGTGCAATGTTGGTGATGAATCAGGTGTTGGCCAGTTTGCTTAATATTTTATTGAGATTTTGAAGTTTCAAAGTTGCAAAATTGCTAATTATCAGCTTTTTTAGCACCATCACACGGGGGATAATAATCGGGCAAGTGAAATGAATCAAAATAATGCCTATGAATGAACAGAACAGACTCCTAAGTTCCTCTTAGTAGTCAAGACTACGGATGCACGACACCAAGAGAATGTTTAATTCTTACATCTTTGATGTGTTTTCCTTTTGCATCCCAAGATTGACCACGACTTTCTGCTCGATAGAATTGGCACCCTGCACAATGGCGTAATGCCAACAACTCTAGGATGTATTTAACTGAAAGTGGAGAACAATCAGGGAAAAGCTGCACAAAGATTATGAAGTTCATCAGTGAAAAAAAAAATTATAATAAATACCGCAGCATTCCAAATAACATCCAAGAAACTCTGCCCATTTTCTCCCTCTACTTCACTTATAGCATGTTTGCTATGGAGGATTGGATAGTACTTGATAACAGTAAAGAGGTAAATAAAAGCTAAAATTTTGCCAATTATATTGGTTAGTCATGTCCAATATCACATACCAAATATACTCTTATTGTATAAAACTTCACCATATCTTCCTCCTCTAAATTTCAAGTCTCTTCTTCTCTCACTCAACTCTTCCTTTTCTTCACTGGTTTTTTAATTCAGAACGCTTTTCGCTTCTGATGACAAATAGATATAAGTAAAATAGATTCGTAGTCAGAACTTGAGACCCTTGTGGGAGTATTTTGTAAAAGATTTCTCATTTCTTAAAGATTTCTTCTAGTAAGTTCAGAAAGTAAATTTACCAGTGGATCAAAACACTTAGAAATGCATTGGATAAAATAATATGAAAATAGTTTCTGGTACTGTTTCCAGTGTCTTTTTATTTTAAAGAGAGTTGGAAGCATGAATATGATGCACTTTGTTTAGTTCATATATACACATATATATTTTTGGTATGTTGGACAACTGAAAATCGTCTCTGAAAATATGATCAATAAATGCTCTAAACCTTTTACTGATCAAGACAAATGTAATGTGTTGACATGTTCTCCTGATTCACAGTTGTCAACCATTCTTTTCATAATTCTATAATCTAATTGATTAAATATCAGTTAGTAATTAATTTTATGACAGTCTTTGACCACTCATTTGAAGCAAATATCAACAAAGGTCAAAAAAACAGAAAACTATCAATATTAGTTCAGCGAATCTCTATATGCAGTATGCTTACATGAATGCTGTTAATTTGTCTTCGCATGCAGGTGCACAATTACAATCTTACGTCTAAATACAAGACTATAAAGCTTATTAGAGAATAACACAGTAATCATTTAATTTTTTTTCTTTTATTGGTGCTTGAAATGCCTCGATGCATAAATACAAGATTATAAAGGTTACTGGAGATAGCAATGGAAGCCACTGGAAACTTTCTTTCTTTGACGTGATCCAGACGTACAAGAAACCACTCCATTATTAAATCAATTATATGAATCTGGTTATGCAACCATATATGTATTTCTAATCATTCGACCGTGGGGGTAACTTTAGGACCTGTTCACTTAGGGAATATGAATGTATACCTTGATGTGAAGAGTACCGTGTTCTGTCTCTAAGCCAATAATACCCTTAAACAATAAAAGAGAAAAATGAAAAGTCAATTCATGAAGAAAAATTACATAATCCACAAGAGTCCAGTATCAGGAAGAAACAAAAGACTACTCTTTTGACGGTTTATTAGGAAACTATCAAAAGGGAAAGAGCAAAGGGAGAGGAAGAGAAAGATAGTTACTGGTTGCATCATAGAAAATAGTAAGAAATAATCAAGACAATTCAGTGATTTATGTACCTCTCCTCTTCCAAAGACAAGGCCAGAAGTCCACATGACTTTGTCTCCTACTTCCTGCTTTTCAGGGGCCAGTAAATCCTTCTGTTTTTTCAACCAACACTGAAACAAAAAATAAAAAGTAAAAATTATTTTGTTAATCACAGAGTTGATGACAGTGTTAATTAATGGTTTGTTGAGCTAAATCATGTCGATGGGGTGAAGACCTATGTCTACAAATACTTACTACAACCACATTACTTCTCCTGCAATGTCGTGTGTGCTTTATACATGCAATTAGCACACACACAACAATTCTCCTATTTCCTTGCTACAAGTTTCTTATTAGTCAAAGAAATATATTATTAGCATAGAGCTTTGAGCTCAATATATAGTGCACATTAATTTAAACTACCCATTGTTTTAGTTGGCTAATTAATCTTGATTTCTACTAAACTGGTTTTCTTGATTGTTCTAGTCATAGAGAACTTGAATCTACATCAACATCTTGTGCTTACTATTTATGTATTTGGTTCTCAACTATAATTACATTATTTCATAAAATTGTAATTTCTCCGATACTATATTATACAACTAAGTTTTCCAATTCTGCAACCAGCGCAAAATTCAAAGAACACAAATTTATTTGACACATAGCCATGTATATCCTCTACCAAACAAGTACACAAAATATTATAGACAGAAATTAAAAAAAAAAAAAAGAAGAAGAATTTCCGACTAACCTCCCCGAATTTGTTCCCACAAGCCTGCTTATTACCACAAAAAACCCAGGTATCACAAAGACAAGGCCCATCATTTCCAGTACACATGGCTTTACAAGCTTTACAACATTCACCAGAAGAATTGAATTTGAAATCTGTGCCCCATTTGACAGCAGCCCCCCAAAGTTCCAAATTATCAATCCCTTTACAACACAACCCACCAGTAGCGCCACCACTCTCTACGCCGTTAACCCACTTTTCACCATTTTCATAGGACTCAGCCAGCACTAATGATTCAACGTTTGAATCATTTGCTGGCACTGATGGCCTTAAAACTGATGACACGAACATGTAGACCATAGAACAAGATACCAAACCAATCAAAAGCAGGATCAGAGGGGCCCAACGAGTCGGCTCGGAGACATTCGGTTTCCGACCCATAGATTATTTTGAGATTTCTAAAGATTGAAGAACAAAAATCAGAATTCAGAGATGATTTTCAGTGATCTTGTGAATCTTTTATCTGGCCGCTTGAGGAATCGTTGACCTAAGAANGGAAATGTCGTGATTTTGATGAAAAAAAATGAAGCCCCTGTTTGAGCCACATTATATTTTTCATTATCATTCTTCTACTCGTTTTCAATCAGACATTTTTCAATAAAATAATATTTTTTATCACATCAATAACTTTTCCTTCTTTTTCAACCACATATTCTCCATCACATCAATCAAAAAAATGCATTCTTTCCACAAAAATGCCTACCAAACATAGGCGGAGTGTTTTATAAGGTTGAAACCAATCTTGAGAGTTCCACGGTCCCGCCTCCAGAGCACTGTGAACTAAGTAAATCGCGGGATGTACCTCAATAAGTTAGGGAATAAGAACTGTCATACCGGTACTTATAAAGAGTTCAATTTCATATTTTATAAGAGGTAGGAGTCGAACCCTTACATTGCTGACAGCTCAATTAATACTACCTCACTCCTATTCTTTGCACTACTGAACTATGTCCCAGAAGACAAATTGAGCGTTTTATATCACAATAGAGGATTGTGCTAGGGTTTCTTACTAGTTATTTATTAATAAATTTATAAATAGTTGTATTAATTTAATTTATTTATTTAATAGAAGTATACTAATAAATTATTAATTAAATTAGTGAAAAACAAATGTATACTTATTTTTACTTCTTTTGGTATAAAAAAAAGTATAAAATTTATAGCAACTGTAATTAAAAAAAATTGCAACACTGTTATTTGTGCCTTACATATCAAATTGAAATAATTAAAACTTTTAATATCCACTTAATGTAGAATTAATTGCAATTTCTCTTCTAAAAACCTAGACTCTATTATATTAAATTTCGATAAGTAACATTTAATTCTTTTAACTCAACTAAATGCTAATTGTCCTATTAGCATATAGCAATTTCCTCCCTAAAATCTATAGGATGACACCGTCTCAAATTTTATTTTTATATCAAAATTGTATTTAAAAAGTAGAAATATAAAAATAATTTGCTACACTATTTTAACTAAAGGAAACCAATCGGTGTGCTCCCGTCATAAATAGACTTTACCGCTCTTTTACAATTGAAATACCTTATTTCGTGTCAGTGTAATGCTACTTTTTTGTTACTTAAAAGTAAACGAATTTATTTTATTTGACAATAAAAAAATAATTATTTTTAAAATAAGTAACTTTTATATTTTCAAATTTAATCAACATAAAATATTACGTTAAAACTTACTTATTTACTTATAAGAATTTGAAGCCTAGCAAACATGCACTGTTTTTTTGTATTTAACACGCCTCTCAGAGATAATAGATTATTTATGGTTTAAAAACCCATATATGCTCCAATTAATATATAAATTACACTATAAAATATATAGTTCATAATTTATGTGAAGTCCCGAATTTTATGTCTTAAATTGGTTAGTATAGCCCATTTAAAAAACGAGCTATGAAGGCTCGTCCCATTTAAGATAATGAAATCCCAAGTCATGAGTTGTTTAAAGGTCAAAAAATCTAAGACATTAAGTTTAAATAAATTTGATTACAAAGACTTACATAATTGGGTTGTCACAACCCACAAATGATCATCTGCATGGTATTTCACATAGGTAATTCAAGTTCGAATCACAATGCAGATGTTTTTATAAAAAAAAATTTATAAAAAAATTTTGGAGTTAAAGACTTCTAATTTTGCACATTAAGAACAATTATATCAACTTGATTGGATAAAATAATTGTTTTATTAGTTGAACTTCCTAGAAATATGTTATAAGTCACATAAATAATTTATTGTCCTTCTTTTTTCATCATGTAAATGTTTTATAAGAATTATTTTTTATGAGTTTAAAACTCTTTAAATTCCTACTTAAATATTCAATTTAATAAGGCTAATGATGATATAACCCTCTCATCTGGTTTTTCACTAAAAATGGCGGTTACAAGAGGGGGAAAACCACATTTGTTTCACACTTCTCCTCAAATCCGAATTTGCTCTTATTTTTCTCTCAAAAATCTCTTCTTAGCTAAGTTAAGCTCAAGTGAATAGCAAGGGTATGAAGGAAAAAATGCTTCTACACATTTTGTTCCTTTGTACTTCAAGAAAAATTAAGATAGGTGGTGCTAAGTATGTACCTTTTTTGTTCATTCTATGCATATATATGTATGCTTGTGATGTGTGTTAGAATTTTGAAGCTATGTACGAAGATGTTTATTTATGGCCATAACTGGTTTCTACGATCTCAAAGGATTCTTCAAAATCATAAATTTGTCGGTATTCATTTACGTGAAATGTTAAATTCTTTCCTATCACTTCGTGTATATGTTTATGACCAAAAGGGTGCATCAAGTGATATTACTCTTACTGAGCTTAAAGTTCACACCTTCTATGTTGACAAATTTTTTAGGTTAAAAGACGATCGAGGAAGTGGGATTTACATGAATTGTGGAGGATCCGAAGAGAGAAATGTGCTTCATTTGTATAATTAGTCATATTTAAAGAATTTTTAATTCTTGTTAGTTATGCAACTTATGTTTAGCTTTAAAAAGAAATTAGTTTATCTTTCTTTAAGACTTCTTAGTTCTTTTTCTTGATGTAACCATTGAAATTTTCAATTGGTCTAAGTATGCATATAACTAAAGTTGTTAAAGAAGTTAAAATTAAATTTTAAACTTGTTAACTATAATTTTCAGCTTACTGTCTGAACTTTGTTGCATCATACCGGACAGAACACTCTGTATTTTTGGACAAAACTAATGAAGTTTGAAAACCTTATGAGTCATCTATCTATTGACTTTGGAGTCATGTCAATTGAAGGTCGGTAGGATAAGTTATGCCATTTTTCTGTATGTTGTGTTCAATGTACCTGAGAATATTTTTTTTTACATGTTTGGGTGTCCATTTGAGTGTCTAAATGATGTTAAGAAATTTTGTACTTGGATGAGTTTTAAAAATATTATCATAAAATTATGAGTTTGATAAATGGACAAAATAAGCTTGATCATTGGGTAGCGCGTTACTGAATTTAACTCTATTAATGTACACTAACATTCATTTTAATTCTCGATTTTAGTTTCATTATTTAACAAATCAAAGTTATCTACCTTAAATAATTTGTTTCCAATAAATTTTAGAACTTCTAATAGAATGTAAGGGTAACTATGAAATAAAAAGGAAATTAAGAGAACTTTTAATTCAGCCCAAATTTGTAAAAGAAAGAAAAAAAATGTTGTTGTTTTTACAGATTTCAAATTCCAAAATTTGGATCGTTATAGCTCGGTATCAGAGCCCAAAGTTATAAAATTGATTTTGTAGACATTATTGATGTATAAAAGAGATCTTATTTATGTACTTACATGTGTAGATGTAATTTATACGAGAACATGTTGCGCTAAAATATTATGTGTTTAAAAGTTTTAAATAAATATGTTCAATACAAATTTTCTTATATGTGCAATCACTGATGGTAGAGAGACTGGAATTGACCCAGTACTAGAGTTTCTGAGCATAATGAACATCCTACTATTGAGGATACTGAGAAATTTGGCTCTTAATTTGTGTCGTTCGATGGAGATCTCTCGGCTGAAGAAACTGATGATTCTGCTTCTGCTTCACAATACCTCTTCACCAAGAGAAGGGCCACTAAAGCTGAGAAAGGTAAGCTGAAGGCTAAAGAGACATTTAAACTCTGGTTGGCAAGTCAACATTTCCTACTCCCGGTGGTGCATACATAGTTTTGGAAATACCCACATCCAATCCATCTATGTTCAGGTTTGACACATTTACTATAAGTCGAAACTTAGTGAGTCCATTTGATTACTGTTTGTTGGAATATTGAATGAAAATCAGAAAGTTCACCAGTTGAAAATCAGAAAGTTCTTCAGCTGGCTCTTCAGTTTCATCACGGTTTGC